GACTAAAGCAGGTTTCTGGGGTTTTGTTTAGTTTCTATATTTGTTACAATGTTTCAAACTGCAAGCTCAGAGGCCGACAGTGCAGGCAGGGAAGCTTGACTTCCTCCATCACTGAAGCAAGCAAGCCTCCCTGTTCGCTTCAAGCTGCCTGGCTGCCGGCCGCCATCTTGGCTGGCAGTTAATTTGCATATCTCCCTGATTAGCCAATGGGAAGGGTAGTGGATGTACGGCTAATTACCACGTTTCTCTTTTATTAGATAGGATTTATTTATTGTTGATGGTATTACAGATGTCCTCCACTATCCCCCCACTTGCCCCCTTTCTCCCAGCCTCCTCCTCACCCCAGGCCCTCACCACACTATTGTCTATATCCATGGGCTATGTGTATGTGCATGTATGTTCTTTGGTTAATCCCTACCTGTTTCACCCACCCTCCTCTCCTCTGAGATCTGTCCTTCTGTTTCATGAATCCATACCTCTGTACTATTTTGTTCCTCAGTTTATATTGTTTATTAGATTCCACATATAAGTAAGATCATGTGATACTTGTCTTTCTCTAACTGGCTTATTTCGCCTATAATAATAGTCTCTGTTCCATCTATGCAGTCTCAAATGGTAAGAGATCCTTCTCTTCTATAGCTACATGGTATTCCATGGTGTAAATGTACCACAGCTTTTTTATCCACTCATCTACTGATGAGCACTTGGGCTGTTTCCAGATCTTAGCTATTGTAAATTGTGCTGCTGTGAACATAGGGGTTCATAGATTCTTTCTGTTTGGTGTTTCAGGATTCGTAGTATATATTCTCAAGAAGTGGGGTTGCTGGGTCAAAGGGCAGTCCATTTTTAATTTTTGAGGAAGCTCCATACTATTTTCCACAGTGGCAGCATCAGTCTGCATTCCAGCCAGCAGTGTACTAGGGTTACCTTTGCTCTATGTCCTTTCCAGTGCCCGTTGTTGTTTGTTGTTTACTGAGAGTAGCCTTTCTGGCAGGTGAGAGGTGATACCTTGTGGTTGTAATTTGCATTTCTCTGATGATTAGTGATGTTGAGAATTTTTTCATATGTCTCTTGGCCACCTGTATGTCCTCTTTGGAGAAGTGTCTATTCAGGTTGTTTGCCCATTTATTAATTGGATTGTTCTTCCTAGTCTTGAGTTGTATGAGTTCTTTGTATATTTTGGAAATTAACCCCTTATCAGATGTATCATTGGTGAATATATTATCCTATACAGTGGGTTCCTTTTTCATTTTGTTGGTGGTTTCTTGTGCTGTGCAGCAGCTTTTTAGTTTGATGTAGTTCCAGGAGTTTATTTTTACATAGTTTGTATTTAATTTGTTAAATGGATCATTTAATCAAACTCTGTACATGACAAATTTGAAGTGCCTCATGATACAAATGTTTGTGTCCAACTGAAAATTGAAAATATTGGATCACAGGAGAAAATTCTGGAGTTAATGATTTGGGACTTTGGCAACAGACTGATTGCCTTTTAGTGAGTTTGATATATGTTTTTATACCTTTATAGTTTTAGATAAACAGATGTTGAGGAGGAATCTGGCAATGGGTAAAATATTAGGAAAAGATTATTTGGGGTATAATTACTAGTAGTTGGAAATGTGTATACTTTGTAGGGCCATTACCAATGTTTTAAAATATGTAAATAATTTAGTAAAATGAACAGTGGAAACTAAAATTACAATGTTTAATTTACATAGAAATATCAACATCTGTATTGCATAATAACAAATCCAACAAATTAATTAGGTGGCCTTAGAAGGTGTTTGGATAATAATTTATTACTGAACCAGCCCAGGATAAGAAGTAACACATCTTTGCAAAAAAATTTAACATTTATTATCACTTTATCTTAGTTGACAAAGAATACTGCTCAATTTTTTTAAGACTTCAGGTTTCAGAATCAGTTGTATATATCTACCTATACATTAAATTAGTGTTTATTGTCATTGCACATATAGATGTTGCGGAGCTAAGGAAACTCCTAATGTTTCTACATGCATTAAAAGATCTGAGTGAAGGAACTGAATACAAATAATTACATATAAACAGCAAGCAGGTGCATTAATTCAAGATAATGTTTATGATTCCCTCTGCATTACCAGTTTCTAGGCATGTCAGCAGAGCAAATTATAGGCCTGAGGCCAATTCATGGTTATGCATTACTCTTCAATTGTTATTAATACAAATTTGAAGAGTGCACACACTAAAGATTTTTTTTTATTAATGGAAGATAATGAAATAAATATATTTATTATTATTTATGTGATTATGACTTACTGAACATATTTTTCAATTTATGTTCATGGGATCTACTACAAACTCGTGGGAATCCTGATTGTGCTATCTATTACCTGGTATATACTACTAGTGGCAGGATCACATTATTTTATTATTCATATTCCCAGTACCTCATACTTAATTTCATAGGTGGAAATGCTTAACAAATGGTTTTACACTCGAAACTTATATAATTTATTAACCAATGTTACCCCAATAAATGTAATTTAATATGTTTGTGAAATGTATGAATTTTTTATAACTGGTAATTGGGAATCTATAACTTTTTGTTTCCTATTGTGTTTCCTTTATGTACATATTTCTAAGAAGAATGCTTCCTATATTACTTTTGCTATGAACTTTGGTCTTTAAAATTCCTGATCTGTACTTCCAAAACATTCCTACATCAGACAATTAAATGTTCTTCATATCTTTTTAGGCAAAAGGTTAGTCTGATCTATATCCACTTGATTTTTCCAGCATTTTTATCATCAGTTATTTCCACCCTTGTAGACATCTTCCATCTCTTCTCTTTAATAGTTCAATCATTGCTACACCAATCTCCTCCACTTTCTCCTTTACTATGACTATACAGTGCATTGACTTTCATCTATATCCCAACACACCAAGCTCAGGGTCATACCTGGAAACTCTCCCCCTGTGCCTTGTCCTGTATAGCTAGCTCCCTTCCCAGCTTCAAGTCTCCAGGCAGTGTCACCATTCCAGAGAGGTGTTTTTTAACCACCTACATAAAAGGTTTCTATGCGTCCTCTTACCAGACAGGTCCTTGACATCGTGTAAAAAAAGATTTTGCAACAGGAGTCCAGACAGGTTTGAGAATATGTTTATTAAAGCTGGGGACACTGAAACAAAGGAAGAAATTAGGGTGGAAGAAACAACAGGGGAGAAGCTAGATGGCGCTCTGCTTTGGGTCCCTAGAAATGTTATAGGAAGGAAATGAGCAAGGCGGGGCTGCCATTAGCTCACTGGAAGGTAAAGGTCACAGTGATAGAAGGGAATCCGGGTGGGGCTGCTTTGGCTCACCGGGAAGTCAAAGAAAAGGGGGCCTTGGAGACAGGATCAAGGGTTGATCTCAGGTCTAGCTGCTATGCCCACCACTCCCCTGGCTACAAGTCTCCTAGGGACCCTTAGAATTTAGGAAGAAATAAAAAGGTCATGCCCGGGAAGGGCCATGGGCATGCTCTACAGCAAGTCTGCATTGAATCTTTGTCCTGAGGAATTTTTATACACTTTTTTTTTCTGTAGGCAAGAATCAATCTTAGGGGAGGTTTTCAGTAGAACATTGGACAGCTTTCCAGGTGCATTTTTAAATATACTGATGCATCAAAATGAGTGTATAGGGGAGTTCTGGATCCTGAGGAATTTTTATACATTTTTTTTTTCTGTAGGCAAGAATCTTAGGGGAGATTTTCAGTAGAACATTGAACAGCTTTCCAGGTGCATTTTTAAATATGCTGATGCATCAAAATGAGTGTATAGGGGAGTTCTGGATTGTCCTTTGGTCTGTTTTACTGTTTTATTTGTTCTGGCATTAATGGAGTTTTTGTTATTTGTTCCCCAACTTCACCTGTCCTTGGGTTCAGCTGCACAAATGGCATTAATTGGGTCTTTGTTCTCTATTTTCCCAGGCCAGGGTGATTTAAGCTACATATTTTCTGGTTGGGGAGGAGGATATGAACCATTTGCTCTCAAGTGTCCTTGGTTGGGAGAGATAAGGTCTTATAATTCACAAGCTGGCAGCAAGCTGCCCAAACTGCTTGGCCTTGTTTACTTTTCTTGTCTCAGTTTCCCCATTCCACTTGCCCAGAGAATTTCCTAACTTCTTACTATCCTGCTAC